TATATTTCCTGACCTCGTGCACTTAGCTAGGATTTGTTTGTAAACAACTTATTACGTATGCTATTTAATTAAGGTTTATATCACCGTTTCCTTATGCTTTAATCGAGTTTTTCTCTTTTTCTTTCTCTCTCTCTCTCAAGTGTTTGGCTGTTGTTTGATATCCCCGGTGTGGATGCGCTTGATGTGCATGTGGACAAGGTGCCTACTAGTCTATTACCCACTACGTCGTCCATACTGGTTCCAGGAGACAGTTGGTCGTTGCTGGAGGGGACGGGGTGCACGGTCCTTGTGGCCGTGTTAGGCTCGAAGAGTGGTTCCATGCACGCAGTGTGGAGCGGACTACGGTCCAGCCACCGCCTTGTGTGCGCTTGATTCCCAAATACAGTGTGCTTGTGTTTGCCTGTGAAGGAGTGTGGGCCGGCTCCGTTGATGAAACGTGGCTCCCATCCGCATGCCTCCCGGTCTTATTCCTACGGGTTTACACTTGATATGAGGTGTGTGGTTGGAGCTGTGGGTGGTGCAGCGCAAGCCATCCATGGTCCCTCTGTAGGCGCAGGCGTCCTGTGGCTTGCCACAGTGACAGGCAAATCCGAAACCGGCTGCCGCCAACCATGTATGTATGTGTGCCCCATGCTGAGGCTGATGTTGCATTCTTGTTGCTTCTTCACCGCAGTTGGGCTAAACCAACTTACACTTAAACTAGGTGTTTTTCAGCTGGATAAATTTCATTCCGCTTTATTTGGTTTGTTCTGCCTCCCTGAATAATGTTCTATTAACTGGCCACGTTGCTTACACTAATTGCGCTGATCTTCGGTAATTTTGTTGCGTTTGTAGCATTTTAAGTAACTTGTGGACATTTCTTACTTATCACGGATTTGTTGCTGACCAACTTACTTCATATGGTAATTTAGCGAAGAGTTATGCCACCGTATCTGTATGCATTATTGGATTTATTTTATTTCAGCTTTTCGTTTAAATTGAATGGCTGTAGTTTGATATCCCTGGTATGGTTGCGCTTGATGTGTATGTTGACAAGGTGCCTACCTGTATATTACCCACTACGTCGTCCATACTGGTTCCAGGAGACAGTTGGTCGTTGCTGGAGGGGACGGGGTGCACGGTTCTTGTGGCCGTGCTAGGCTCGAAGAGTGGTTCCATACCCTCAGTGTGGAGCGGACTACGGTCCAGCCACCGTCTTGTGTGCGGTTGATTCCCCAAATACAGCGTGCTTTTGTTTGCCTGTGAAGGAGTGTGGGCCGGCTCCGTTGATGAAACGTGGTTCCCATCCGCATGCCTCCCGGTCTTATTCCTTCGGGTTTACACTGGATATGGGGTATGTGGTTGGAGCTGTGGGTGGTACAGCGCAAGCTATCCATGGTCTCTCTGTAGGCGCAGGCGTCCTGTGGCTTGCCACAGTGACAGGCAAATCCGAAATCGGATGCCGCCAACCAACATATATATATATATATATATATATATATATATATATATATATAGGCGTGACATTTGGGTTGCGGTTAGGGGGACAATCAACGCTTACAACGGACATCGGAAGCCAACATGTTGGTCAGTTTGACCCGCGTACAAATGCCCCGTGTGGGGTCGCTTCTCAATCCGGGGACCCTGGTAGAAGCGCGATCTCGCCGCAAGCGGACTGACTGAAAATGAGTAGAGATTTTTTAATATGCTGGACCAACTCAGGATGAAAGTTTTTGGAATTTGCAGTTGAAACTGTCATCGTCTAAAGTTGTCCTCCTGTTTCTCTGCCAGCTTCTAGAAAACACTAGTCATATTTGCTGTTTCCTCTTTGTTACAGCCTTAACACAGACCTAAAGGGACACAAACTGAAGTTGTCCGCGCCTTATCATCCTTTAGAATCCTGGATCATTATTTTCCCTCCGAGATTGTTTGCTATGGAACACTCTTCGATTTATGTCATTTTTGTTCCCATGCTGTTCAGTATAATGCGGCTCGATGCATGGCGCGGTTTGCATTAGGTGGTATGACTTGCGCACATCTGGTGTCGATGGGTTGCAAACAAAACTCTGCCCACCAACCAACTAAAGAAATCGAGGTAGACCGATTTATCTTTCCGTTAGTGCGAAATCCCTGGTGTGACCACTTATGCTCTCTACCTAGGCCATCCTGCAGGGCATACATGTCCATCTTAAACACCCTTGTTTCCATGTTCCACATATGACCGGCAACGCACCGACCACCACTATAAAGTCGTTTATTGTCAACTACATAAAAAAGTGATCACCGAACGCAACAACAAAGTTCTCCCTCTTCTAACATAATTAAAAAGGTAATCAAGAACAGCATACTATTTTTCCTTTAAATTTAACCGGCTTACATTGGGATATTAGACAAGATCGATGATGACTGTCGGGGTTATTTTGCCATCCATTTATCGACTTTTATTTTCTCCCGAGACTCGTCATTTTACTCAATAAAATACACAGCAAATTCACACAATAATCCAAACTCGCCAAACTATGGCGAAAGTCGTTGAGACACCGTTGGAACCATTCAAACTCGAACAAGTAACAGAGTTCTTCTGTATTGTTGTTGACTACAAAAGTTGGATGCACTTTTTTCCCGCTTTCCTCAACATTTCTTCCAACTTGCCACTTTGATACAGTAGTAAGATTTCTTTAAAGCCGCCGATGTGCACTCCGTCTACGAACAAATGCGGAACCTGTGGTTTAAAGGTGGTAAGAATACTTTAATATATAATCCTCCTTGTATCTATTGCTGAGGTGACACTGATGCTAAAAGTGTGTTGAATTTCTTTTACTTTAAATCGCTAACGGCCCACTTCCCTTGAGCTCATAGTACCATACTGTTTGCATTGCACAGTGCCTATTAACAAGCTGACACCTACTGTCTCTTTAAAATCTAGGTACTGGGCAAACTTTTGTTGTTCATTTTTGAGAAATATCACTTATACCAATACAATATTCCTCGAATGACATCATTTGCAGTATCTAATGCCAGAGCCCCTTTTACCAAAGTGCCACAGGATACCTGCCACTGTTGCATGCCGTCTTTTGTGATCCGCCACAAATTTACATATGACCAGCTGGGCCTACTCTGAGATCCCTTTAACTTAATTGGTTAAGTAAAACACGAAGCCCCCTATCCTACAAAATAAGCAGCTACGCTCACGATCTGTCGTTTCTTACTAATGTATCAGTTCACATAGCTGAATGTGTGTGAAGCGAGTGAGGCCCTCTCGGAGACCATTCGTGTCTCGACATCGGACTTCAGGAGCTATCAATCATTGCTTTGATATGCAGAGGTACCCGTTCTTATGTAGTTGTTGAAACGAGTAATTGACCTGTGGCCAAGCTATTCTTAGCTTCAGCGCGGTCTCCGACATATAATAAAAGACCCGGGGCGACAACTGAGCAATATCTGCTCGTCTCATCCACAACCCGACCAAAACACTGTACGTTCCAAAGCACTCAAGCTGTCAACATAAAATATCTGTGCCGCTGATTTATCCGATAAGAGAGATGAAGACAGCAGGCCCGAGACGATGTGCTGGAGTTGTGTACTGATCGATCCATGAGTATATCCATATGGAAACGTTGGCTTACTCTTAGCTCACTAGGTCCAGTATGTATAACTAGTATACGCTCACGGCAAATTTGGCTGGCAAGTCCACGTCTTCTCGCAATCGCCAGTTCACAAAAATAACCAAAGCTCTCACAGTATGTATGTATGTATGTATGCCATGAGCTATGCCATTAGGAGCCACTACAGAAGCGACGACGGGTCCTACAGAGAATTACGGCGAGCCGGCGCAGCCTTTGTAGGCACGCTGAATTTGATTTACTAACCGCGTGCTTGCATGCTAAATTTCTTTATTTCAGGTGGTGGGTTTACAGTTTTTACCTTAATGCTTTTCTTTCTCATATAAATATCTCTCTGTACTCTATTTCATTAACTTGCACACATCGCCTAAGCCAATTGTATTCGATTTCCATAACATTTTTGTGTTCGTGGCATTCCGTGAACTATACTTCCTGACCTCCTGCACTTAGCTAGGATTTGTTTGTAAACAACTTATTACGTATGCTATTTACTTAAGGTTTATATCACCGTTTCCTTATGCATTAATCGAGTTGTTCTCTTTTTCTTTCTCTCTTTCAAGTGTTTAGCTGTTGTTTGATATCCCCGGTGTGGATGCGCTTGATGTGCATGTTGACAAGGTGCCTACTAGTCTATTACCCACTACCTCGTCCATACTGGCTCCAGGAGACAGTTGGTCGTTGCTGGAGGGGACGGGGTGCACGGTTCTTGTGGCCGTGTTAGGCTCGAAGAGTGGTTCCATGCACGCAGTGTGGAGCGGACTACGGTCCAGCCACCGCATTGTGTGCGCTTGATTCCCCAACTACAGTGTGCTTGTGTTTGCCTGTGAAGGAGTGTGGGCCGGCTCCGTTGATGAAACGTGGTTCCCATCCGCATGCCTCCCGGTCTTATTCCTACGGGTTTACACTTGATATGAGGTGTGTGGTTGGGGCTGTGGGTGGTGCAGCGCAAGCCATCCATGGTCCCTCTGTAGGCGCAGGCGTCCTGTGGCTTGCCACAGTGACAGGCAAATCCGAAACCGGATGCCGCCAACCATGTGTTCTCAACAGTCTATTAGCTAGACACAGAGCCAACCTAAAACCATGGAGATAAGGAGATAAGCAAGATTCATGGCGTCATAATCAGCGTGGCATGCTACTTGAAGGTGAGCAACACACTTCAACTAATACGCCAGCTCTCACAGTGGAATCGCAAGTATGGTTGAAACGCAGTGCGGAATCCATAGAGCGATTATCAAACTAGCGACCGCAGCTCGAGAAGGAGCAAGCAACTGAGAACGATGTAAAGCAGAATGGGGTTACTCCGCGCCACCGAATAACTATGTTCATCCTGGCTGTATTCGGGTGGTGACTGAGGGGACGAAATGCTGTCGCTAGATTAATGGCTGACCGTGTGCAGCGCAGTGAGACCTGTATTCAAACTGTACCTATCCATCTCCTCAGTTATCCTATTAGGGATGACTAAGTGTATAGTGCTCCTCACGTATATTGATCAGGTCTCTGATTAACCTTATAATACCGATCCCATTGTGGAATTATCGGACCTGTCCCTAATAAAGTAGCGAACGTATTGCTGTCTCTAGTGGTGCCTAAGGCACTAACCTCTGGTGATTTGATCATCGCGTTGAACAAATTATCTTATTGTCAACTGCTTCAGCTGATTGATGACTGGGTATCGGTATCTTGTCTATCGTTTATTCCCCAGAACTTTATTATAGTTGCAAAGTAATGTTGGTGCGCGCAGTATTCCTATTCTGTCTTTTTGGCAGCACCTATGCCTGGACTAGATGCGATATATCACCCACTTACTTTAACTTTACCGACTGATTGCCCATAGCCCTCAGCAAAATCGTTGGTGCCTATGGGTCCCACAACGTTTGCGACTAAATTTTGAGTCAAAGTATTTTGGTGTTGCTTCTCCCCACGCAGACACACCCCACCACCTACCTCAAATGGAACTGACGTCTCAATTGAGGTTGCGTATCGCAACCCAATCACACAGCGTGTTCTCCAAATCCAACTTGTAATTTTTGAGTTCTTTGGCGAATTTGTCATTTTTTCCTTTCTCTATTACCCATTTTTCAGATTAATATCTAAATGATAATATCTTTTGCTCGTTGGCACATCATTTATTTTCAATCTGGTTTTCAGACCACAGCGTTTTGCTTTCGCTTCCTGGGCTCAAACTAGATGAAACTGAAGCGAATCGTTTTCGATTGTTACACTACTACTCCTCATTCCCGATGGCATCGTCATGGGAAATTGCTCGCATAGAGTACAGAACTGAGATATAATCCTGACTTTCATGTCAGTGAACTGAAACTTCAGTTTGAAACTTTTGACCATTTTTCTGACGTCATCGGATGTATGAGTACATGAATACTGGATGCAAGCAATAAGAATAGATCTCTGTGTAACTGGATCTAAAATCCTTCAGGTACAATGACCTGTTTGGAAGCATTTACGATATTTCTTCATATCGGCAAAGCGCTTGTCCAGGAATTCCTCGAATTCCGACACCAACTTTTCCTCGACTACACACGGCAGCAGAGAGCATCAGCAGTACGCCGGTACACGCTTCGCTGCTGCGCAACCTACACCGGTTGCACGTGGGATAGCGATACTGCGTGGGTCGCCCTGCCCTTACGCAGGCTCGAATCCACGCCATCGGATTACAAGATAAGCTTGTTACCTTTAGACTACGGACCGGCGGCGGCAGGTTGTTCCATATATTCATCATTCTCCGAAACAGTGTTGGTGGGTGACTGGCTTCAAAACCGGTACTCCAAGCTTGTACCAATGTCCTCGCGTGCTACTTGGTGTACGCCTTGGTGCGGTGTCCTCAACATTAGGGTCATCACTAAGATGTATTATCCATTACGTTATGATGAGGTCAGCGCGCAATCGACGATAAGATAGGGTATAAAGCCTTAGTTTCTTGTACCGATCTTTATACAACACACAACGTAAAGTGGGAATGAGCCTGGTGACCACATACTGTACTCCCTCATTCCTTTCTACCTCGCGCTGGTATGCGGGTGAGCTGTATTCTAGCAATAGTCGCGTTATTGAGACGAAGAGGCGAGTGGCAATCTCTTCGGACCAAGTGCTGAAGCTGCGCTTAAGCACCAATGAGTAAATCTTCTAATCTTCTTAAAATCGCTTGTCGTTTTATGGTGCTCCGGCACGTTTGATTGCTGCGGAACGCTATACATCTTCAACGAACAGATCCAGGCCAGGCCACTTCAGTGGAAACTATGGAGCCCCACTAAGCTAAAAGAAAATATATGCTTGCATCATTTATCAATTTCTATCTTTCCAATTTTGCTTTCTTAACCCCCAATTTATCAGTCGTTGCGCAGTTTGACTAAGCAAAATAATCAGCGTATAATTACTTCAAATTTGTTTTTATGATCTTGCAGGCGTTTGGTCAAAGTATTGGGATATGTGCCCACTGCAACTTAATAATCATGGAATATACCATCTGGAGTTAACTTTTAGGTGATTTCATTGATTCTGTTGAGCTACTCCTCATCAATCGCATTTCACCAGTAATCTGTACCAATCCTTCGATACCATACGACCTTGACGACATTACCACTGATGGTTCGGAAGATTAGAGAGGGGATTACTCCTAAGTGTAAGCGTCTTAGGCACTTACACGCTGTCAACCGCCCTCTACCGCAATCGACTGGATGCCGTGAGAAAACAAGGCGGCATGTAGAAGAAGCATTCTTGTTATTCACATTATCACGATCTATAATCAATCCCACCCCACATTTAATTTAATATCACACATATTTAATAATGGGGATCCGATTAGACAATTATTTTTCTTCTGAATTGCGTTGTAATGCGTTCTGCGGCAGAATTAGAGAGAAATCGGAAACTAAGACAGCCCTCACGAGTACCGCTTGCAGCCCGGAGCAAAATGTAACCATCGACCGAGTAGAAAGCAATTTTGACATCGAAAAGCTCGATTATACTTCAGCTGATTGTACTTGGGAGTCCACTTGAGCACCTGTAGGGGCGCGGATCTCAGTTCACACGGAAATGCCCCGGAAGCATCAGGAGATCGGGACTAACGCGGAGACTGGGAACG